ATTCACAATATTGAATTGCTGTGAAGTTTGATTGAATACACATCCAATTTTGAGCTTCATGTTACTCCTCTCAGCATAGTATCAGGGTAATCATTATAAGGTGATCATGTAATAAATTATTACCTTTTAAATTAGTTAACATTGTTCACACTTTCCTGTGAATGACACAGGTCAACTACTATATATAGGGCGTGTTCGATTTTTTTTAATTGCACCGTGCCTTTAGGCACTGGTTATAATAAAGGCACCAGGAACAAATCCGAGTATTGAAATCCAGTTTTCCATGAATGCTATTTTTCCAATCTTACCTTTAATCCATTTGCTGCTAACATGTGAAACAAAAACTTCAGTGTGATGAAATCAATGGTAAAGTTTGCCTTTGTCCTACTCAAGAATGATTTTTTTTCTATTTTACGATTATCGAGAAAAAACATCTCATCGAAATTTTAAATTCCTAAGCAAATATCAATAAATTAGGCTCAAAGTATTAAACCCATTCTTAGGACATGCATAAGAAGAGATTTGAGTTCTCATATTTGATTTAAATGTTGGAAACTCAGCTGCTATACTTGGTTGCAGGGGAAGCAGAGGAAAGAAACTCAAATATCATGGTAAGTCTCCTTTTCTCTTCTCCAGCAAGACTATTTGTTGAAGTGAAGCTTTGATTGATTTGAATTATGCGTTTTATTCTAGATTGTGGAAAACATCATACTAATTCTTTTATTTTGCATATATTTCCAACAATATAACTATTCTTGGATTTTAATTGATTCTTTCACTAAATTTTAATTGATTTACACATTTTTGATTTTTTCAATTTTACACTGTGTTATATCAAATCCAAGCAAACAGTAAGATGGTACTTAAGGAAGAGAAAGCAATGTTGATGGCCTAAGGTGTGTTGATTCTAGCTTTTTTGGAGATTTGTTAATGGAGTTTGAAAGCAGCTCCAAGAACCCAAATTTTTTGATTTTTTTTTTAATTTTTAGGATTTAAATATTCATTATTATTGGGGTTCCTTAAGCGGGTTTTTTCATTTTTTTTTAAATAAGCCTTGCATATTTGATTAGTCTGACATTGGATATGGATTGGATATTGTTATCTACTGCAAGCAACACAGTGCCCACAGTCAGACTGAAGAAAGTGGTTGTTTGTGATCAGAGACGGGGGGTTGGTTGATGGATCTGGTGTTCTCAAGTGTTTTTGAAGAGGAGGAGGTGTTTTTAGGCAATGCTTTGCTCTGCTATGTGCTGACATTACTGAATTGGTGTTGTTTGGTTTTGGTGCTTGGGCAGGTGGTGTGTACAGTCTGAGTGATCTGCTTTGATTTGTATTGCATTGTCTTGCTTGCAGTGGAGTTTGTGCACTGGTTTGGGATAGTATCAGGAATGGAGGCCTTTGTGGCCATAAACTGAGTTTGTAGCTTTAATCTCTTTTCTTGTAGGATTAAAGCCAACTCTTGGGGAAGTGAAGACAGTTAGCAGCTGGAGGATAACTGGCCCAGTTTATTTTTTGCAGAAAGTCCCTGGTTGTTCTGCCAGGTGCTGGGCATGAGGATTGTTGTTGCTGTTTTTAATGAGTTGCTGAGCTACTGTTGCTGACTACTGTCGTCTGCTGGTCTGATGCTGCAATGTTCAGGCTGTACAGGAGCTGAATTGAAAGGTTAAAAACAGTTACTGTACAAGACTTTTTGTGAATAACAGGATTTTTTTTTTGTTTTTTGTACATTTTTCTATTTTTGGTGGTTAATCTATTTATGTTTTGTTTAAACAGTTTTAGTTTTTGTTTCTTGTAATTTTTGGGTTTCATAAAATAAAATTTTCTCTTTCTTTAAAAAAAAATTATGGTAAATTTATAACACAACGTATACTAATTTGTTTATTAATGGAAGTTTTTTTTTATGGTTGTGTAATGAGAAACTGACTTTCATTTTTTTTATCCATACATATCACATTCAGGCTGACACACTCACACACACCAGCACATGCACACACACACACACATTGCACATAAACACATTGCACACGCGCCCCCACTCACACACACACCAGCACATACACATCGCACCCACACACACACACATCGCACGAGCATAAACAAATTGTTTGTAGTATTGCTTCCATGAAATCTCATTAGCCTTTTATGTACATTGAATTAATAACTATTGGCTTTGTTATAGGATGTACTGGTTAGTTTTTGTCTTGAGGCTTTTGTATGAAAAACTATTATTCTTTTCAATTGGAATAGGCATTGGTAGAAAATGTCTTGGCAGCCTGTGAGAAAAAGACAATGGTGTTTTAATGGTTTGGCTATGATTGTGAGTGTTTTTTTTTTATTTTAGCTCGCTCTCTATATAACTATTTTTTATAGTTTAGATAATTTAGTTTGAATTGAAAATGACGGAAAGATAATTAATCGCATCTGACACAATGTTCAATGTTATGGTTTGTGCTTTTGCTTTATTTTGTTGTTCTATTTCATTATGAATTTGGGTTTTGTTTATTTGTGGGTCATTGGACGCCTCACCATTGATTTTTTTTCCTAATCGAAAGGTATGTGTATGTTCCATTTGGTTGTGTAGCTGCAGCAAGGGCTATTTTCGTTTATCTATAGTGCCTCCTACTCTTTCTCTCTCTCTCTCTCTCACACACACACACACACTTATGTCTTTCCTATATGCATGCACACCACTTGTTCAATACAATTCTTCACTTGACCTCATGTTTTTTTTTCTGCATTATTTATTTTTGCCCTGGTTATTAACAATTGATTTTTCCTGTATTTGCCAAGTTCATTGCAATTATGGATTTAAGGTTGAGTGTTCTTTGATATGGTGGTGTTCATGCGACAAAAATTTTCGGTTTTGGTTACGCTAATAGGAGGATGTGTGTATATATAGACACTTGATGTGCTAAATTTGATATAAAAGCGTTGGAATTTGATTGTCACTCTGTTGGAATTTCATTGTAGTTTTGATTTTGATGTGCTATATTGTACAAGGAATGTGGAACAACAAATCACCAGCTAATACCTCCATTTGCAGTACTGGTTCAAAACATCCACAATGTGGGTGACTTGCTAAGTCAGCATCAAGTCATCAACAACAAGGAGGCCTTCAGTGATGGTGAGTTATCTAAAGAGAACTTTTGGTCAAAAAATTGTTATGAGATCATTCATTCATGAATTGAAGATCACATCAGAAGAAAACACATGAGAATACTACATACTTAGCCAGTTTAGGGGTCACACAACTTTTGTCTGCATTAACTATTGATCCTCCTTTATCAAACCAATACCATGCTAATGCTAAAGTGATCATCCTTTTTGTACCCAAAAAGTAGACAGTAGTGACAAGATTCAAGGATTTCTCAAGAAGGATGATCACTTTGGGAATATCATAATTTCATTATTATATGACTTGCAAGGAATTCTGATTTTAAGCATGGTTGCCATAGTTTTCTTGGTCAAGACTTTGGTGACCACACACTCCTAGGCTTATTGTTCAATTAGTTTTAATTGTTGGTTTGAACTTTAATTAGTTTAAATTATTATGCGGTATGTTTTACGACTATCTTGCTTTTTGATTGTTGGTTTAATGTTTGATTAACAACATTACGTGCCTGAAGGCCATGAGGTGACAAGCTGCTAAAACATGAACTGCTGCCATAACATTTTAAGATGTGAAACCATGCACTGTTTTACCTTTGAATCATGTGTTGAAACCTCTGGTCTCATTAACATTGAATCAAGAAGTTCTTTTGCTGCAAATGGACTGTTTCTCATTTTGGTTTTGTTACTATTGTCATAAATCCACTATGATCATATTCTTTTACCAGTCTGTTTTTGCAGTGCCAAGATGCCTATGGCGTTGCAGTGTTGCCCGGTGAAAACCCCACCAAGCAGCAATGTGAAATCACAGTTAGATATACTAAGCCTTTCTGAAGATGGAAAATGCGGATCTCTTTACGCCACACATTTTGGATATGGATATTGAGAAGGGAAGGTTGGAGATACCTAAATCCAATGACAAAACTATTGGGAATTTGAAGACTAAGGATCCATTAACTATAAGTTCCTGGTGTATAATTTCTAATTTAGCTCCCTTAGTTGGAAGCCCAATACAAAGTACGTTCGGGTTGAGTGCAGATGTGATATCTTAGGTGTCTTATGAATTGGATCTTCATGCAACATATGTTTGGCATGTTAAATTCCCAAATTTTATGACTACTTGATAGCGTTGGCAGAGGACATTACAGAGACAGCTTACCTTATACATAGGACGAAAATTCATGCAGTTGTTAATGAACGATTGTTGGTTTAATGTTTGATTAACAGCATTGCGGTAGTTTGGCATGTTAAATTATCTTGTTTTTGGCTTGTTGGTTTAAATTACTAGGCTTAATTATTTAATTGTTGGCTTGTTTTGTGGACTATCTTACTTTTTGATGAGTTTTGGGTTTTTTCAAGTACTAAATAGATGAATTTTAATTCTTGGTTTGAGCATTTAAGTTTTAACTTCAACTCTGCATATCAAATTTTTTAGTACACAACAGAAATGCAATAAATTATTTTTTAATCTCTGATTTTTATCGATCTAAATTATCTTTTGCTTTATTACAATGCTTTCTAAGAAAGAAATCTTAATTCTTATCAATTCAATTTATCTATCCAATTCTAATTTTTTAGTACACGTGCTTTCTGAAAAAAAATTTGGTCTATGTGTTGTTTTTGCTCCTATTTTTTTTTTCCTTCATTTTATAAATTTCTTTTTTGGTGTTGCCGGGTGGTATGCACCACTTACAATTGATGCAATTTATGGACGAACAATTCGTTGTTTTTTTTTTCAGTGCTTAATTATTTTGTATTTAAATTTAATATTCGATTTTTTTAATTGTATCGTGTTTAAAGGCACGGGTTATTCCTAGTATATATATATTAAAAATTATTCCTAGTATATATATATTAAAAGTTTAACATAGGAGGGACGAAACGAGGCGCAGACAGAGCGGGGGCGAGTTTCGATCCATACAATACCCGTATTTCCAGTTCCACTGCCATCCCTATCTCTCACAACCTCCAGTGTGCAACTTGCAACGCAGAAAGGAATCGAACTTCTCGGCCTCTCTCTCTCGGACCCTCTTCTCTGCAGCACAAAAAGGATCTCCTGGGCAGTTCCTATGCACAGGTGCCATAGCCTATCTTTATCTTCTTCGTCTTCGTCTGCCTCATGCTTACCCGTCTGCTTCTTTTCTTTGCGGGTACGTGATGCTCATCTGCTTCGTCTCCATTGGAATTTCAAACCAAAGTCGGTGAGTATTGTCAATTTATTTCAAATCGGCGACAAAATTTTCTTAAATGTGCGTTACGTGCCGAAATTCAAAGCGTATGAAAAATATTCGGACACTCTTTTTGCCGTGTCCCTGTCCGAGACGTATCGGGCACTGGTACGTCGACGTGAATCCAAATAGAGTGGCTTATGGTACTTGTAGTATCATTTTGAAATTCATTAATCCTTGGCTGCACATTAATTTTACATTTCTCAGCATTTTAGGTGGATTCATCCTATGTAATTGTAGTCATTGGATTACTAAGGTGCACTACATGTTTTTTTTACTTTTTCCAGATTATGCTTCCTTTTCATATAGTTGGAACCTGGTGCTGTGGGGATGTATATATTTTTTGTGATGTTATCAAACTCAAAACCCCTCATTCTTGATATCTAGGCTGTGTCCAGTTCAAAAAAAAAAAAAAAATAAAGCAAGAAGAAGATATGGAGGCTGTTGACTTCTCGGCATGCTGACTTTGAAATTTTAAATAGGGGGCGTAAATTATAACTGAGTTGCCTTATCTTTTTGAAATAATCTCTGATGGGCGTGCTTAAAACAGATGCTCATGCATTGTAACTATGAAAGAAGTCTTGATCGGCATGATAACTACAGAGATTGTGCTTCACTATTGCGAGCCTTGAGCAGAAAAAATTTGCCTTACGTTGCTTCAAAGCTATTATTCAAGATGAAATCAGAAGGTTTACAACCTGACAACTCTACTTTGTCTGCTCTGATGGTTTGGTATGCCAACAATGGTTTATTCCCTCAGGCACAGGCTATTTGGGAAGAAATTATAAACAGTTCTTCTGTGCCTAGTATTGAAATAATTTCGGAGCTGATCGATGCCTATGGGAGGATAGGATGTTTTAATGAAGTTACAAGGATTCTGCATCAAGTAAGTTTGACAGATTCCAGCATATTGCTGGAAATTTATGCTCTGGCTATATCTTGCTTTGGAAAGAGAGGACAGCTTGGAATGATGGAAAATACGTTGAAGGAGATGGTTTCCAAGGGATTCCCAGTTAATTCTGATGTGGGAAATGCTTTTATCATATACTATAGCAGTTTTGGATCTCTAACTGAGATGGAAGTAGCTTATGGCCGTCTTAAGAGGTCAAGAATTCTCATAGAGAAAGAAGGAATTAGAGCAATGTCATTTGCTTATATAAAGGCAAGGAAGTTTTACAATTTAGGTCAATTCGTAAGGGATGTGGGTCTTGGTAGGAGAAACGTGGGAAATCTTCTTTGGAACTTGCTTTTGCTATCCTATGCTGCAAATTTCAAAATGAAAAGCTTGCAAAGGGAATTTCTGGCAATGGTGGAAAGTGGATTCCAACCCAATCTTACTACTTTTAACATTCGAGCTCTGGCCTTTTCAAGGATGTCTCTGTTTTGGGACCTCCATGTAAGCCTTGAGCATATGAAACACGAAGCGGTTTTTCCTGATCTTGTGACTTACGGTTGTATTGTTGATGCATATTTGGACAGAAGATTGGGAAGGAATTTGGATTTCGCATTAAGCAAAATGGACACAAATGATCAAGCTGTTACATCGACGGACCCATTTGTGTTTGAGGCCCTGGGAAAAGGGGATTTTCACTTAAGCTCGGAGGCACTGTTGGAGTTTAATAGGCAAAAGAAATGGACCTACAAGGAGCTTATTGCAACCTATCTGAAGAAAAAGTACCGGAGTAATCAAATCTTTTGGAATTACTGACAGGTTATCTTTGGCGTGCAGCTGAAAATTCATGTACAGCGGCTACAGCCATACTTTGCTTATTCAGAGGAAAAGAAAAATGAATAAAAAGGAAAATGTACAGCTGCTTTCGGACCAGGTGTTTGAGAAGTAGGCTTTTTAATATCTCAGCTGCTAACTAACTCATGCTTTTGGATTAACAAATAGTTCCTGTTTTTACTAAGTTGCATACCACTTGATTGTGGCATCCACCTGATATGGACAGCTTACTAGTGAGGTATGTCATAGTTGTTTTGCTCAGCCATATGTCACTTAAGGAGCAACTTTGACACTAAATTTTTTTTTTTTTTTTGGCTTTCTCAATTTTATTCTTCTAATCTTCCAGATGTTTGATTGCCCCAAGTCATGTTGTGGATCAGAACAACAAAAACCTCCTAAGGTGGAAAGAAACCTTCGTTCCTTAATAAAAGAGCTGCATGGTGTAAATGATATGAATTCTTGGGTCACATCAATTCGTAGGTCCTTTGTGCATTCTAATTTCCTCTTCTTTGTGGTGCCTGAAATGGTTTTACCTTGTTTCATTTTTATTAGTTTTGATCTGGGAAGTGATGTTAATGGTATCCTGATTTTCCAGTGTCTTATGCTTTCTTGTATACTCTCAAGCTTCAATTTCTCTTCCTTTTAGATTTCAGGGCCTTTTAGGATTTTACGTCAAATGAAAAAGAGGAGAAAAAAAACCTTTGGCTCCTGTTTGGTTGCTTCTAGGCTAGACCTAATAAGGTTTTTCATGGCTTTTAAGATAAATTGTTTTTTTTTCCTTTGTTGGGTCAGTGGACAACTTGGTTTGTAAACAAGTGAAAGCAGCTTATTCATAGGTGTTTTATTATAGAACAACACCATCACATATTCCAAACATGGCTCAAAACAGTAGCCTTACCAGCAAGGGTCTCAGCGGAAGCTTTGAATATAGTTTGTAGTTTGAGAAGATATTCTAGAGGTTCTTTTCTTTTTCTCTATCCCCAGCCTGGTAAACTGTAACATTCTAGAAGTTATTTTCAGAACAAGTTAGTCAAATGCTAGCATTAGAGCTCACATCAAAAATTATGATCTTAAACAGTAGTCACTGAGCACCCACTTGAAAAGCATTCAAAGGTTATAGATTGACTGACCATTTCTGTAATTTTAGAATAACCCCAAATCTTTCCTGATCCTTTTGATTCTCCAGCATTCGCAGTAGCAAATAACTTATAAAGAGGAAAGTGAGCCCCAAGATTTTTTCTTATAACCTTTCCTCCTATTGGCCTTTATTCCATAAGCAAAAACCATCGAGGTTTATAACTTGATCTCATTTGGGGAATCTATACACAATGGATCATAGAAAGTATGTTTTACAAAGTATATGAGGTCTCCATAGGTGGATGGGTACTTTAATAATTTCCTATAGCCCAAAGTGGACATAAAAAATCAACGTTCTGTTATGACTTGCAATGATTTGACTTTATGCACTTAATTCTTCATTCAACACAAAAAATTGATGGAACGTAGTAACTTCAACAACCTAGAGCTTGTAGGGGCTTCCTGTTGAATTGAGAACCCAAAAGATAGTATACTTAAATTGGAGTTAACTGAGCCCACCAATTATGAAACCGGTTCGGAATTGGAAGGCTCCAAGCTTCTCAGATTTGTTTGACGGACATCTTTCAAAGAATTGGTCGTGTCCGGTATGATTCAGTTGAGTTGAATTCGGCTCAGCATGTATCGTTCTGATACCATTTCACATTTTGTGTAAATCGTTGGCCAGACTTCATTCATTGTTGTAGAGATTAAAAATTAATAATGTCTAATTAAGGCCCAAATTTGATTAAATAACCTTCTAAAATTGGGTTGGACTTAAAATTTATAAGCCCAAACAAAACAAAAACCCAAATAACAAAAGCTCAAACATAAAAGCCCAATCCATAAAACCAATGAATATGATGTGGCTTCCCCACTAAGTAGCATTAACTATAGGATTTTATTAGCTAGCGAGTCTAGAAATTTTAAACTCAAAGCATATTAATTATTTATCAGTAATTTTCTTTTCTTGCTTATATTTTTTATTATTTTTTGTAAAGTATGAATCATCAATCTCAAAGTTAACAACCTTTTGTTTGAGTTATGTCATTATTGGTTGAACTTAGAATGGATTCGATGAAGACTATAAATATTCTTCTTGTACTCCCATAACTTTGCTTGAGTACTTTCTCAAGCAATTCTTTGCACGGGAATCCATTACGTTTTACGTGATTAGTGCTAGCAGATGATCTAGATGTTTGAGCATCATCATTTAAATTGGAAGATGAGATCAAAGGTGGTCGGCCAACGAATTGCTAGATGAGGATCTTCCATTGGTTTATGAGGAGAAGCTCAATATCTAATCGGATTTTAGGAATGATCCAAGCGAATTTACGTCAAGTTGTTAGATAAAGCCTCTTTTGATTATCATCTATTTGACTACATGTACCGTACTCTTTATGAAGTTTGGTAATTGCGGACGAATACATTCGTGACCGGCCAATGAGAAATTGGGATTTCAATTTAGGAAATGCGAGACATCACTGGCCTTTCAATCAACGGTGAGTATTTTGAAGAAGTTATTCTGAGTTTGATCGAATTACAAGATTTCAGTGTCGACTATTTTCCATAGATATGCATGTATTTATTCAAGGCATATGCCTTAATTGCTAGGAAGAAAAGGCACAATTGCATCTGACATTCAGATTGACTTGACCTTTGGTTCGAAGATGGTCTACGTGCTTTAGATCCTTGCAAGACTAAGGAATAGAAGGCGGTCATGACTAATTTCTCTCATCGGAATAGAGAATGCATTACATGCAGCCTAGAGATTGGGAATACATATTTTGGCAAAGTTGTGGCTTACGTAGACAGAGGATGATGGTGATAACCCGTTCATTCTTCTTAATCTTAACCTTGATAGCTCGGCATGAAGATTTGGAGATCGCAACTTATTTATCCTTATGACTATGTCGTTTTTTGTTTCCTATAGCTCAGCGTGAAGATTTGGAGATCGCAACTTATTTAGCCTTATGACTATGTCGTTTCGTGTTTCCTTTAAATAATTTCATTCGTACAACAACTTTCAAGTCTACTTCTCGAATGGCCATGGGAGTCGCATGGAGTTTAGTTCCTCCTATTGTCGCAAGCATTTGCAGAGGCCTATCTGAGACCTACATCACCTACAGTGAGCCAAAAGATCTTTGGTCAGCTTTTGTTTCTTTTTCAGGTCATTTATTTTATGCTTGGGCGGAACTACATTTTGGTGGAGGAGTTTATGCTCAAATTGATGAAGGCATTGATTGTCCTTTGCTTTGATGATTCGGGGGCACGTTGAATACTTACCTTTTTTATGACAAGGCAAAATGATGTCGAGATCTTTGTTGCAGAAGCATGAGTTCTATAGATTTTTGCTGGCAGCCAATTCCATTCCGAGCCGGGAATGATTTCTGCCGCGACGACAAATGAGATCGGGCTGTAACACACATTCTATATTCCTTGGTCTTGCAAAGATCTAAAGTGCATGGACTATCTTTGAACTAGAAGTCAAGCCAATCTAAATGTTGGATGCAATTATGCCATTTCTTCCCAACAATTAAGTAATAGGCTTTGAATAAATACAAGCATGTCTTCAGGAGAGAGTTGGGGTTGGAATTTTGCAATTCAGTCAGGTTTGGGATAACTTCTTCAAAATACGCACGTTGATTGAAAGGTCACACATTTTTCAAAGTGAGATCTCAATTTCTCCATGGCTGGTCACGAATATATTCGTCTGCAGACACCAAACTTCACAAAGAACATGGTACATGTTATTGAGTTGATGATAATCAAAGGAGGCTGCATGCATGATGTAAGCAAGTTCATCAAAGCCTTTATTTAACAACGTGATGTAAATTTGCTTGGACCACTCCCAAAATTCATTTAGATATTGAGCTTCTTCCCGTAAACTGATGGAAGATCCCTATCTAGCAATGCTTTGGTTAATCAAATCAGCAACAAATGACTTTGGGATGTAAGGACCTAATGATGATAGAAAGGTATACGGAGGGATGGTTGACAATTTGGTGTATGTGCATCACCTTCGTGCATATGCTTAAGCAAGGAACACTCGCTGATCATTGACATGTGATCATAGGCAACATTTGAATTGCTGCAAGAACCGGTCACGAGTTCAAGAACTATAAGTCTCAATTCCGATTTTTAGGGGTTGAATAGTTCTTTACTACAATGGTTCATATGAAATTCACGATGAGGGTTCTAAACCTCCTCTATCCCACGTTGAGATTTTATAAAAAGGTAGGTGTTGGCTCAAGCTCAACTTCTTCGATTATTCTACCACTTGGGGCTTGGTTTAGTTGGGCATGAAATTCGCTACTCGATTAGTTTCCCTACACTATTAGGCACTTTTGGTCTAGGCTTGAAAATGCAACGGTTTAGGTGGTTAGTGAATGGAGTTGGCAAGTTTGGTATTTCTTGGTGTAACACATGTAGTCTACCTTCATTGCAGGCTCGTGGAGATAATTCCAAATAATCTGAATTCATTAAAGTATCCAAGGCGTTACCAAAAGAGTCAATATTAAATAAATCGACATTTGCAAGATTGAAGATCTAAAGTAGCCTCTAGAATTGATTTCATGCGTGAGGAACAACAAAGAGTAGAGGAAAATAACATTCGTGAATCGTTATGCAAACGTTCATTGTAAGGACAAGGTGGGTTGAAGAAGGAAAAGGAAGGGGGGTTTGATGGGTCCATTAATCAGTTCGTTGAGTTTGTTAGGCTGATGGAGTCTTTTGGGTCCCAATGAGTAGAGTGGGCTGAATTGGTGAATTGTTGCATTGTAATCCACTTTAACTGTAAAAAGTGGATAGTCCTTTGAAAATAGTAGTTAGCCAGTTTGTTAGCATTAGGCAAGTGGATAGTGTTGGTACAAATTCTTGCACAACTCAAGGATTTCGGCTGACCTGGGTTAACCCCTTGGGTGACCCCCCAGTAGTCTTTTATTTCCATCCCACATCGGGTAGGAGTCGTCTCCTCCTACCCGATGTGGGATGGAGGTAAAGGCTATTGTATTGCTTTAGGAAAGGGTGCAGGCCAACCACAATACTTGGTGTTCAGGGATGAGATCCGAACGCGCGATTTTTACTCCTAACAGATAGGATTGACCATCGGTAGTATAGACTATTCTGTTGTAAGAGTTGTGTTTAAAGCAAGGAATTAAATGAAGAATGTCATCTGGAATATCAAATTATCTTCTTGGTCTTTGGAGGCCTGACCCCCTCAAAGTGAGTCAAAACATTTCTTTTCAAAAATTTTCAATTCTTTGCACAACAGCTAGGAAAAGGAAAAGTAAACCCAACAAGGGGTTACAATGAGGGTTGTCAAATGAAGATTTCTATGGACGTTTTTCTGGTTTGGGGGATTTCGTGTTCTCAAAACATGTGGAAGAGTCCGACAATGGTAGTTTTGATATTAATGATGTTTTGACAAAGTCAGATGATACTTAAAGAGATTCAAAATAGTTCTAAACGGATGCCGGAGGATAAATTTGAAGACTTTGAGTTGGCATCGTGAGTGGTGGAATCACACTTTGAAACTAGGGATTTCTTTTATTCAGTGGATGTTAACGAGGTTGATAGCTGGAGGATATCAGGTGGCTGCAGATGACAAGCAGAACAATAGGAGCTCTAAGACGGACTTGGAACTAATGGGAAGCTTAAATGCAGAGTCTGAAGGGAGGCTGGTATAGGCTGATGATAAAGCTGAGACAGTAAAATTGTTTTTGGTTTTCATGTTATTTGATATGCCAAAACCACTAATTTTCCGTGTTTGGTGTAAAATATCTTATTTAGAGAAACTGTTTCTGCTGATGGTGACTCTTCTACTGCCATGGTTCTTAATGGTGTGGTCAATGAGGTTCTCAGACAATCAGGTTCACATTGCTTGTTCTTGGTGCTATCATTAAGTGTCTTGTTATCCTCTTGGCCATTGTTGTGGGGGTTTTGATGAAATGTGGTTTTGGATAGCACTCTAATAGTTATTTTCTGGTCCTTATTATGGTGTTTCTGTTCTGGCCAAGAATAGTCATCATTATAAGATGTAATGCAGCTGGAATATTTTATAGAAATTTTTGACTATTTCTCATGGCTGATACTAGCGGTGACAGCTAAAATTGGCCTTTCTCTACATCAGACAATTCTGTGGTGCAACTTACGCCTATAAACTGGGTTTGGGGGAAAGGGGGGGTGGACTAATAACTTGATATTGGCTTAAGCTATTGAAAAGCTGCAATTTATTTTGTGACTCGAGGATATAATGATTAATGACTGGTCCTCTGATAATGAATTTATCATTAGCATGGACCCTCGTGCAAATATCATGTTTCCGGCACGACAAAGGCAATATGGGATTCAGAGCAAGATATGTATTTATAAAAGTGTCTCATGTGTATTTGAGTTGTACGAGATTATACTCTTACTTCGCCAGGGAGAGAACAGTGTTGGTGAATACAATATGTTGAACGGAATGCTTGAGGAGTCAATCAATATCACCCTGTGACGACAGATATAAATGTCTTGAAGAGATGGAGAGAAGACTTCTATGTTATTAAGTTCTTGTTTCGTTTGCATCCTAATCTCCAAGGCATTTGTATCTCAAATTTAGCAGATGGAAACGTTCCTTCTCAGAAATGTTAATTCCCGTGTTCTAAGGATTTATGTTATTTCTTCATCTTTCTCAAGTACTATTTGAAGAGATAATTTAGCACTAGTATTTTCTACTGGAAAGCAGGTTCTTCGTGAGGAAGTGATAATTCTTGTGGCTGTGGTCCCAGTAACAGAAGCCATACAACATCTACTGGTTTTAGAATGGTGGAGGTAGAGATATCCAAGAGAGTGATCATGGTAGAGGAGGTAAGTGTACACCTTTTGGAGGAAAAGTGGATAGGTGTTAACGGAATAGGCACACCATGCTGTGTTTTCTTTTGATGCTAATTCACCACTTCAGCATGTTAGTGCTAGGGCAGTGTCAACTTTTTCAATGCTGAACAGTATGTAGCTATCTCCAAGGCAGTGTCTACTCTTTCAATACTGAACGGTATGTAACTATCTCCAAGTCCAAATACTCTGCTTTTCTTCAGCAAGCGCATCATGGATCTGGTACTGAAGTTGCTTCAGTTGCTCACTAACGTATTGTGCATATCTTGCTATTTTTACCCAGTCCTCGAGTGTCATAAACTTAAAGAGAGTCTGCTATTTTTACCCAGTACGGTCATCTCTATTTTCAAGTTTGATTAATTGTTCATTTGATTCTAGTTTTATAACTCTTGCTGATGGTGGTTGTCATCCCATAGCTGGTGGGACAGTTTGTCCTTCGTCTCCGTATCCTTGTATTCAGTACATCAAGATTCCCACATTTTCAATTAATTTACTTCTTGTTATACCAAATCTGTAAATTGTTCTGTAACATTCTATCTCTTGTGTGTTAGGGACTTCAAAACGAAGATGTTTGGTGGAGGTTGGAGGGGGGGGGGGGGGGGGGGACCGTACTCCCAGGAAATAGTTATTTTCAAGTCAAATACTAGCATCATGGCTCTATCGTGATGCATTTCTACATTAGTATATGAATTGACCTGTTTATAAATTGAAGAGAAGCAGATGAATAATAACGCCGTAGATTCTTACAAAGTTGTCTGAACTGCTTAATTACCACTATGGTTGGTCTGTTAAAAAGTAATCACAAACAGAGAGAGAGAGAGAGAGAGAGAGAGAGAGAGAGAGAGAGGGGCTTACATGGCAGTCATATAGATTATCTTGAGGATCATGCCGCAAGAAAAAGGATTTAACTAAGAATTTAGATTTAATTTTGCACTTTTTGAGCTGTAAGTCATTGCCATCACAGTATTTCCTAAACAATAACAAATTCAAATGCAGTTTGGACGCTACTCAGATGTATAATTAAAATCTAACAGCCGAATAAATATGTATAATCCAACGGCTGTCTATGATCAAAACTCCTTTTGTCCTGTTATTCAAACGTTTGAATAAGTTAATAGCTCACAGTAGAGAAAGAGATGGTTGAATCAAAATAATTTCGTTTAAAGTTCTATTTTTGTCAGAGGATAATATTAATGTTTTAGTATGTTCCATCAACACACTAGAAAGGTTATATGATATATTCAATGGGAATTAGGCCAACATTTCTTTTGAAAAATGGGGGATTTCTAAGTCCGTGGTTAAGTACTTATTAATTCTTGGGTTGTAATTGTTATCTTATTAGGTGGCTAAGGTATAAATAGTACTTGGACTTGGATGTCATTTTTTCCTTTGCTTTGTTCAATGACCTACGTTGGAAAATTGTAGGATGCACAACCATAGACACCAAACTTTATTATCTCTCCTCACATTTTGAACAATTAAGGGCAAATGACACTTTATACTTGTAAGAGACAAAAATCTCTTACCTTCGGTGTTTGATTTGAGAAAATTAATAGGGGCCAAACTGTTAGTCCTATAAAACGAGCAAACTATCAGAGATCGGGAGTAGACTGGTTAGAGATACTCTAATGTTTAAGTCAGTAATGACTCTGAAAGAAAGCAAAATAATTTGCAGAAATTCTAGTGTGTACCTTTGACTTAGGCTTAATTTGGATTTATAGGATTTTATGGCCCACAATTTTAGGTCTTGTATACGTTAGGTGGTACAACTAATGTTTAGCCGAATCTTTTTTGGATGCTAGGATCTCTCCTAAAATTCTTCTCTGTTATATCTGTTTTATAAAGGTGTAATGAATATTCTCCTATGATTAAAACAATGTTCCCTTCAATTCAGCCTTGTCTTACTTTCTTGCTTGTCGAATGGTTTCTGTAGGAGACTGTCTTGGTGTTTTGCTTGGTCAGCATGTCGAATTAGCTTTTTTGACAGCTCGGCCCAATGAACTAAGCACTATTCATCTGCTTGGTTTGATTATGATGGACGTTATTTCCCTTATGCATTTCTTGCACGTGTTATTGGTCACGTGTCTCAAGGCACGTGAGCGTATTAACTGTTTCAATCATGCGCAGTCATTTTGTACCCCTTCACTTGCTCCTTCAAGGAATGTTTGTCACATGATACACGCCAATTGATGTTTCTTGACCGTTCATCATCTCCACATTTAATGCGCTGCTTGGTTTCTCGCAAAAAGGCACTGTACGTGTATTTTCCCTTTGCAAAGTTGAAATCCTCGGGAATAATGTTCCTGGGGATGCCAATGTGAGTTCTCCCGAGGTCGACTCTTCTCTTGATTTAACAAAACAGTGAAAACATGCTGCCAAGAAGGGGAAGGCTACGGAGATCAGTAAATCCGACCAGGGTGGGGAAGTGGTTCTCCCTTTTCGCCCCGTCCTTAAGGAGAAGGGTAGGGAAATCTTTGTGAGGGATTCTCATCAATTTTTATTTTTATTTGATTCAGGTTTTGAACCAAAACCTGAAGTCCATGGGCCTGTTGCATAACAGATTTGTCATTAGTTTTTCCCAAGAATATAGTTTTCAAGCCCTTCATCGTCTTTTATTTTATTTTTATGTATATATATATATATATATTTCTTTTGTAGTGCATCCTACAACTCTCTTGCGGTGGTAGTAGTGCGGAAAATATCAGTGTTGCACAAAGAAAAAAACTCATTTCAGGCTCGTGAACTTGTTCTTATTAATTTTAACACACAAAGATCCATATAATTAAAAATTACATGGAAAAAGCAAGGAGAAAATGTTCAGCACAAGAGCAACAAAAAATTGACTCAAATGCTTTTTAGTGGCTACATTTATAAATAACTTGTCCATTCTTTTTCTTGTTCCAAAAATCTCAGATTTTGATTTACCAGACCAGCCAAACTTGAAATCAAAAGCTACAACATTGTTGGGCTAACAACAATGCCTTATCATTGACACTGCTCGAAAGAAGCTTCATGCAACATAGCATGAGTTTAAAAATATTCCCTGCCAAACTTCAATGCCTACCTTAGTTTAAAAAAATTCCCTTCAATACCCGCCAAACTTACTCTTAGTCAATTTAATCCACTCGAAACTTGGAGGAGACAAATTGCAGCACTTGAAACCACAAAGAACTGATTGCAACATTGTTAGTAATCTATTACAATGAATATTTAATTGTTATATAACTTTTAAATAATGCTTCTATAATAAGACAAACACCCACTGAAAAGTGAAGGAAAAGAATGAAAAACATCATTATAGAATTCCTAAAAAGAATGGGGGACATAAGAAACTAATCTTTGCATTTTACAAATATTGATCCCTTAATCTCTTGGTTGGTAGAATCGTAAGACAATTAAGAATGACCAATAAAATTAAACTGAGTTATATGATTTTATCGTATGATTAAGCCACCATACCATGTGATATTTTTATAGGCATCAACAATGCACACATACTATTTCCTCTTTTTCTTTTTCTTTTTCTTTTGTTGGAGAATTGTTTAGAAGTTGAGTATGTTAAGGGCAGGGGAGAGTAGAGCTCGAACTCGGGTCTATGACATAGTAAGGGCTACCTTACCTGGGCTCACCTTGACTTCATTATTTTCCTCGTTCGGCACACATCAAGTTTAGCATTGACACCAAGTCCAGACAAAGCACTTCCCGAAATAGAGGCTTAAGCCCCTGAGAAGATTCAAACCTTCAACCCAAAAGCTTCTGCGCCATGACAATGTTAATAGGAATAGCAGTTGAAGCCTATTGAATCCAAACATTCAACTGCAATTTTCAGCTAGGAAGAAAAAACATATTTGCATCACCTACAAACCCCTTGACCATAGTGACAATGCCTTAAAAAAAGGCGTCAAATGAGATGTTTTTGGAATCAAAACATGGTTTATTTTCCTTCTTTAGCGAAAGACGCACCCATCTTTTATCTTTTTTCACTATACATGCACACTTACACCTTATCCAAGACCGGACCAGACCCTAAACGCTGACATCCACATCAATAACACAAACTTGGCCTAACTTTTACAGGTCGATAGACGCCTTATAAACTCACGCCACTTGATTTCCCTAATCAACGTGGGACTAGTTTTTTCACAATGCATTCACATAATCCTCCAAGAAGGGACCTCAAAGGCTAACACTAACCACATGATCAAAATGATCTTAAAAAAAAAACACAACCTGAGATAGACATCTATAAGACTAGACTTCAAAAACTAAGATGGTACAACATTAACTACATTTGACCATGGTTAAGAGGCCAACAAATGTAAAACATTGTTCAAACTATGAAATTTGCCTATATTGTTGCACAAACAGAGATTAGACCCATTTTTCAAAAGACATGGAAAATGAGGTTTTCGATGCAGTCAGACTTTAATGGGGAGGACCTTTCACAGGTCATTACTAGCTCTCGAAAAAAATAGGTCATGCAGCATGTAGAAAAAGTTGAAGCTTAGTGCAGCACAGCTTGGATGAGATGGTGAACAGCTTGATACATGAGATTGTTATCAGCAATCTTCAATTTCTTTGATTTCACTTTTTCACGAGAACATATATCACGACACGTGGAGTGCAGTAATCTGGATGCCACTGTGATTGATCAACACGCCCAATATTGAACTCCTTCATTGCAGAATCTAAGAAATATTCAAGGACAGCATCTAACAAGGGAACAAGTATTTGAGATCTCTGCAACTTTATAGCAATAGGACAGTATAAGACACAAAACTACAATTCTTACCATTTCTAAGCTCTCCAGCCAAAAAAATTGTTGTTTGAGCTTCACACAGTCGAATTAGTGTGGCCAACAAGTCCATCACTGCTCCCTCGCTGTATATTACATCCGAGCCAATCACTGAAATACATTTTTGCCACAAATGACAGAAAATTAAATAGAGATCCAAATATATAGAAACTGGTAAACTTACTTAGACCAAGGCTATTAAGAACTAAAATTGACTTATCTGCTATTGACATTCTAAAAGAACTTGTTTGACAGCAGGTGTAAATCTTGGGTCAGTCCAGCATGCTAGCTTAGACCAGAACAAAAACTATTCGGCCATAGGAAAATCTCACTGTAATTGCTACAGAACTAAATGGATGTCAGGGCATATGTGGCCTCTTGTGTTGGGTTGATTGATTAGGACCACCCAAGGATATTTTTTTATGGTTAAGGGGCCTCTTCACTTATTATCAATTAATGTTGAATTGGAAGCTTTAATATGATATCCAAGATGATCCAGGATATAGTTACTGGACAAAGTCTCCTACCCATTTGCATTTTCCGGTAGCTTGTATCCCCATTGAATAATTAGCACCACTCAAGATTGATTTATAGGGTAAATAATGCTAATTGATTTTGGGTTGGACGTTATAAAATGGTATTAGAGCTGAATCTTGCCTAGTTGGTAAGCCAAGTCTCTCACCCCTTCGAATTTTCTGTCTTGTCCATATATTTTAATTTGATTTGTTAAGCCACGTGCACACCTGAGACACATGTAAGAGATGGGGTGACGAGAGCTTGTATCTCACATCGGAACATCCAATGTTTGTTATATATTTAAGAAGCTAAGTCAAATTATTTCCAATTAATTTTAAGATGGATACTCTAAAACAAATATCACCCAGAATTTTGTTATACTATCATAGTTCAAGTCCTTTGGAACCATCTAGCACATGAGACTTATGCAATAAGTCAATCAATTGGGAATCATCAAACCATTCTTAGACGGCTCTAATTCGTAAAGCTCACAAATCTGAATAATCTAGATATATCCAAGTGCCAATATGCAATAACTGTGTCAAAATGGCTCCACAAAAAAATAGTAGGAATGGGGAACATGGACCGAAGACCTATAAGCTTTTAGGTTAAGCAGAGTTTAAATGTATATTAAGGCCCACATTAGTAAATCCGCCCATATTCATAGAAGTATCACAAAGTCGACGACGAGGACATGACCTATTTTTTGTGTACTTTCCTAGATCTGCTCTCGTTCCACAGCTGGAATTGCTATTTCAACATGTAAATTTGATTTGGATGCCTATTGTTCTTGACATTTACTTTTTGTAGATTGCTTTTCCTCTTGTATGTTCTTCAGATGATTAAAGCATTTGAACACCCTCTTCATCCACTAATATTGAGTGTTGCCCAAGACGTTTGAATCTGTGCCATACAGTCCTCAGAGTCATCTACACATTGAATGCTCAGGTGCAAAGAATAGCAAGATTTTCGGTTTAAGAAATATTTTATGATATTAGGCTTAAGATATTCTTAATGCTTCTTTCATTTTCCTGCTCATGTTCCTCGCACTTCAAATGCATAATGTTCAATCTAATCTAATTTAATGCCATGAGAAGTGAGCAAACAAACACTAATGTTGAAATTCCACATTGCCTTTTTCTGGTGCTCAAACTTGAGATTACTATAGAAAACTAACAAAAATTCTAATTACGAGAACTTGGACTGAATGGGACACTGAAGTATAGAATATGCTCAATCACTAAATTTTCTAAACCAATGTACATGTCAACCAAATCAACGTATTTTTACCAATGAAAATAGGCTGTCATCCTTGAGATGAATACCATGAATGTAATTTTACAACTGCCTACAATTTGAGAGCGTGGCACGAAAACATTTACCAGTATGCTAGGTGTTAAGAGCAGATAATGTGGGGCTTGTTACCGTAATCAGGCAAAGGTGTAATTAATTCCAGATCAAGTTGATCTCCCCAAATGAGCTCATTCACTGTCGCAGAACCCCGCACATCTCCATACAAATTAGCTTCAACATTCTTTTTCAATAGCCTCAGTCTATCTGGCAGATCAGTAAGAATAACTTGAGCACCTAAAAGTGCCGCAATACAGCTGGAAACATGAGAAGAAGAAGATAGTTCACGAAGAGAATCAATGACTTCCTGGGTAAACTAGTGAATAAATGAGCAATGCTATTGAGACCTAATTTGTTGACCTAACCTTCATGATATCCTATACTATATATATATATTATATATATATATATATATATATATATACTTCTAATTTTAGTCATTTCTATGTTGGCACAAATATGAAAAACTATCATTTTATAGATATGTCCTGCAAAAGCATCCAGCTGACATATTGTGAAAGATGAAAATCCCAATTGAATGGACCATTGTGGTTTTCACTTTTCCCTTATTCAAAAACGGCTTACTAACTGAAATATATGAAAACTTGAGCTTCGTAAGGCTTGAGCACATCTACATAATAATTCCAGCTCCCTAACTTAAAGGCTTATGGGATCCGATCTGTTTTTAGCATCTTTCTGGGCTTTGATCACCAAGGACTTTGACTGAGTTCCTTTCTTTTGCATTTGGAGGGATGGATAGCTTTATGTAATTTATAGTCAGGCCCTCGTATAGTGGAAACCTATGATGTAAACTGGTTTCTTTCTTGTTTGATATTAGGCTGGATGACTTGCCCACCTAACATTACAATTGTTTGTTTCTACCAGAAAAACTAAAATATATAAACAATTGTCGAGGTCCCCCAGAAAGTCTCACATAGTAACAAACATAGGAATACATACAAGCACTATTATTACCCAACTAATCCACAGCCAGAGCCCAGTTCAACAACCTTCTTGCCTCGAAGAGATATCATCCCTGATTCCACAGCATGCTCAAGGAACTTCCCCAGAACAACTCCACTGTCCCACATCACTGCTCCAGTTACTCCAGGCGTGCCCTACAATGGCAGTAACTCAGATTATAAGATGTACACACAGAGGAACAGGAAAATATGATTGATTCATTTTAATAACTGTATATCGTAACATTGTTGCACCTTGTCCTTGAATACATTTCTGTTCACAAAGACCCAACATGGAGGACAAAAACCAGAACAAGAAATCCAGCCGAGTACATACAAAACTCCCAGTTCAACAAGTTGTGAACACCATAGGAGCTCAGCTAAACCACACTGGATCAATTCAATCTTCCAAAAACTCAAGGTTTTAAGTCGGTATTGGTTACATAACAATTATAGTGTAACAGTATTGACAATATCGGTCATCCTTAATGGTAATTGGTTACCAATGTGAACTTTGTTTCTTGCTAGCAAACCCCTAAAACTAGAGGGCATACACCTTTTCAACACGAGTTTGTTGGATTTCAATGTTCTTTAAAGATTGTAGCTATTTAGTGATGCATAAAGAAACAATTGTTATAGATATTGAAGTTTCCAACCCAATCAATGTTTATAGAAGACTTATTTAGGATTATTAGAAATAAGAGAGAACAAATTAAAAAGAATTTTGAAAAAACTGAAGAGCATAATTATACTCAGGGTTGCTATTCATATTCATATTGCAAGTGGTTTAAAATTACAAACTGACCCCAAGAATGAGACAATATGATCAGCTAACCCTACAAATCCACTTAACAGTCTCCTCAAGCTAGACTGTAGATATCTATCATACCCAACTTGTTGCATAAGACATTGTCCTCTACCTGGAGCTTTAGTAAACACATCACTTAATTGATCCCCAGACTTTAGATATATAGTAGAAATATGGTTACTCAAGGCACAATCTTTTGCACATTCTTCTATGAAACACATGCATAGAAGCAATGGTATTGCTGGCTTGCTGCCGGTTAAATCAAAATTTTTTTTTTTTGACGAATCAAATTAAATACATTCTCTTGCAAAAGAGGCTTTACCCACACTATCTCAAAAGCAATGTGTCATAGCTTTATACTCGGTTTCAGCACTCGAATTAGCTAAACAATTTTATTTTTTGCTCTTGCACGTAACTAGATTCCCTCCAATAAAGTCCAGTAGCCAAAAATGAACTTCTATCCACACAAATTCCAACTCAATAACATTAACATCAGAGAACCAACTGCATCAAGTGAAGTAGATTACTTTAACATTATTTAGTTCATGGTACAACTTTTAAGATACTTTGCAATTAGACATAGAACACTCAAATGTTTTGATTGTGGATTCTGCATAAACTAACTAACAGTTTCAACAGCAAATGTAATACAATTTCAAGTCAATGTCAAATATATAAGCTTACCAACCAGCCATTTGTATCTCCATGGGCTATCAAACACTTCACCACTATTCTTGTCAGACATCATGTTAAGCTCCATTTTGGAGTGTCAATTGGCTTAGTTTGTTACAAACTCGTTTCCTCTAGAAGATCAATAACATACGTTCACAATAGCTTCCTTGGATCGAGCAACCTCTATGCTCAAGAAATACCTCAAAGCTCCAAGGTCCTTCCGCTTCGCGTGACAGTGGTTTACCCAATTGTTGTTTAGGTCTAGTACTAACGTCCCTATAGTTCCATGTAATCTAATATCATCAAGATATACAACTAGAGTTATTAAACCATAGCAACTAAGACAAACAAAAACTGAGGATTTGATACAAATTCTCTTCATTCCAAATCAGCAACAAACCATCGTCAGCTTATTAAA